CGGATAACAAAGCTTGATCAAATTTTGCTGAATGGAAACAACATTGCCATTGTGAGTAATAATGATGGTTTAGCCACAAATATTAATCCCCACTCATCTTCTTTCTCTTTTTATATCATCATACCTTTTTGTGAATCCCCCAATCTATTATACCATTCATTTGCATTTATCTTTGTGTAATGCAGCTGGTTCCAGGAGGTTCACCAGATACAGAGTGAGTTTTTGTTTAAAAAAGATCATTATTGCAACTCTTATCTGTTTGTACAAGATACATAACAATCTGTTGCCTGACCCTGTAGTCTGTAGGGTTATTGTCACTAGTTACACATCGCGGTTGACATTTATTTACTTTTTACTTCTAATACTTCCAGCATCTTTATTGCAACCCTTACTTTTTACTGCATTGATTTACTTCATTAGTGGTGAAAAAGTTGATTTTACTGAAAAAGTTGTGGTCATTATATGCTCTCTAGTTCAGAAGCAAAAACCATGAGATTTCTATTTACACGGCATTCACAGTATGGCCAATATTATATATTTGGTCATTATGTTGTTTAAAGATCTCAGAGTTTTGCTTTTAAGCTACTAGCTTGAAGCTGTGTCTGTATAGCTCAAGGTTTTCAGCCTCACTTGATTTGTTCAAATAATTTATATGTTAGCAATGTGAGATTATCTCTTTCACCATCACAATTTCGAAGAGGGGGGAATGAATAATAACCCTATTTGCACTATCTTTTTAGATGATCCAACTAGTTTCAGTTAAGAGTATCTTTAGTGCTAGTTGTTTAGATTTGGTTCTTGGCTATTTTTAATTATTGAAATGCTAAGCAACGGTTGCTTAGGGAAGCAACCCTCTAACATAAGCATTTCTTTATAAAAATAATGTTATGTAACTCTTAAGCAATTACCATTTAAGATGCTCTAACTTGTTTAGTAGATGATAGACACTATAAAACCAGTCCTAATGTATACTAGTTACATGCTTTAAAAAACGTGATTGCGGTTTAAAGAAACCGGGTCTTTTTGGAGACTAAGAGGTTGTTTTCCTGGTTAAATTGGACTTCATATATTTTTATTAAAATAGTCTGTCTAATTGTGGTTCATCTGATTTGATTGGGTCTGGTTTTACAAAGAGTTTGTTCTCTTCGTCTAATTTGGTTTGAAATTACTCCCTCCGTCCCATTTTATAACGCCTGTTTCGGTTTACGATGTTTGACTGAAGTTATTTTTAAATCATTTTAAATGACAAATGGTATATAATTAAAAAATAAAAATTACATATCAAAATACTACATCAAAAGATCTACAAAACTAGTAGTGTTAACAATATTTTATTTTATCAATTTACTAACGAAAATAGAGAAAGAAAGTGAATGAAGTTTGACCTTGTGAATAGTAAACAAGCATTATAATTTGGGACGGATGGAGTATATTTTAAGTTGTTTATGATTTTGTTTGATCTGATATAATTTTAATAAGAATAAGTACTTCTTTCATTTGGGTTTAATCTTCTCATTTTATTTTTTTGGTCATAACTTGTAGACTTTGACTTTGATACGTAGAAAAAATACATTGAAACATAGTTTTTGAAATATTAAAGTTTTATGAAATAGATAGAGTATCTATGTATAAATATCGATACTAATTGTCAAAATGTTAAATTAGAGATTGTGAATAGTCAAACCGAAAAATAAAATTTAGTTAGAAAAAGTAATAAATAATATTCTCTGTTCGGGAGTATTCTTCTCGTTTTGATTAATCACACTTACATAGAAGTTGGAAAATACCAAGCTTCCAAGAATGCCCTTTAAATATTTCGAATTTCTTTTCCTATTCAAAAAGCGTTAAAAAGTAGGTGGATAATAAAGTGGAAGGTATAATTTACATTTACTTATAAAAAGTATACTAAAAAATAGGAAGAATATTTCTGAACGAACTAGAAAGAAAAGAAAAGTGAAAAGAATATTTATAGACGGTGGAGTAAGAATAAATCGAAAAGAATAAGCTTAAACATTGCCTTAGAGGGCAAGCTTAAACTGTGTAGTTCAACTCACCTTCTTTCTCTTTAATAAAAATACTCCCCCCTTCCCATCTCCCTCTTAGTTTACATCACCAAGCACACAACCATTAAACTCTCATCTCTTACTCTCTTCTTTCACCGCTGAGCGGAAGCACCCTGATGGAAGACTGGCAGCAACGGCAAAGAGAAGAAATGCCTGGAATTTGCCCCCGCTTGGACTTACGCACCTACTGACGAACGGGCTGACAAGCCTAGGCCTTGGCCAGACCCCCGCTTGGACTACATGCCCACGCCTGGACCTCAGGCCCACGCCTGGACTGATTTTCTCCTATAAAAGGAGGGGTTCGCCCCTCCATTATCTATTCAATCAATTTCCGGTATTCTAAGGCCTGGACCTCTTTTTTAGCTCCCGTTCTCAGTTATATTTTAGTATTTTAGTTTACTTTTTGTTACGGTTGTCCCAAAGTGACACCGGCTCTTCTCTCGGTTGTAAGTTTCATTTTACAACTTTTAATAAAATGTTCTTTTATTTTATGCCTGTTAATAGTTAGTATGGGTTAGGACCCGGATTAGGGTCCTGGTTAAGTTTGGGCATATACTCTGTATGTTTGTTTAATAGTTGGAATAATTGTTCTAGAATTACTTTTATTATTAAATTAATTAATTATATCAAGAGAAAAATTAATTAATCTACGGAGATTAGTTTTTGCATTGTCTGTGAAGATATAAAATTAATTAAGCCAAACATTTTTTAACACATTGATGATACCTTGAGAGAGGATAAGTTAATGAAATATTTGTGACTTAAATATTGTAATTCTAATTATTGGTTAAATATGTGACAACAGTAGTTAACTCAGATGATGCCTTGGCCCCTAGTCTAGTCCTATACATGTATTATTTATTTTCTTTTTCACAAAAGCACTAGTAGTTTAGCTTAATTTTATTTTCAAATCAAATCGAGAAAATTTCTAGACTCGTCCAAACCTTCGTCTAGTTAGAAAAATTAGCTAATTTCTTTTGTCCATTTCTCGAGAGACACGACACTCGAAGAAAACTGACCCTTCATTGGGAAGGTTGACTTACCTTAAAAGTTAAAACTCAAATCATCAATGAGTCATTGGATCTTATAGAAGATGAAGACCTTGAACATGAATAATTAGTTGTGTATTATGGCTATATGTTTAATGCAACTTTATGCTTATCTTATGTTGCTTTATGCTCCATTCCGTTCAACTTATTTTCTCTGATCTGATCTGATTTTTGGTAGTTCTGATCTGATCAATATAGAGAAGAGATACTATTTTTATTAAAATATCTCATCGTTATAAGATATCAACGTGTGCTTTGTACTACGAAACATTTTTATGATTAATATAACACCATAGATATAATAGTTATTTCAATTACATTAAAATATACGCTATATATGAATATCAAATGTTAATTTTATTTAAGTCATGATCAAAGTTGATCAAGTCGATGTAGTAAAAGATCAAAACTTTAGAAACTCAAATTACAGGTTGCAATAAAAATGTATTTTAAAAGTAAAATTAGATTGACATTAACCATATATTTTAAAAATAATTTTTCAGACGTCTAAAAATTAAGGATTACTTTCTCAGTTTTGTATTTAACTTGTTTCTAAAGTTTATTGTTTTTCATTTTTAAGAATAATAATAATTATAATAACAAGAACAACAACAACAAGAACAACAACAACAACAACAACAACAACAACAACAATAATAATAATAATAATAATAATAATTATAATAATAATAATAATAATAATAATAATTCTTGATTGGATCTGGTCTGATCTGATTGGATCTGATCAGATCAGATTGGATCTGATCTAATTGGATTCTGATATGATATGATATAATTGGATATGATCTGATCTGATTTTAATAAGAATAAGAAAAAAGTAGAAAAATAAGTTGAACGGAATGGGGCCTTAGTACATTGAATTGTTGATTTTGGAACTATAGCATTTTGGACTTTTTGCATTAGCATTTTGGAGCTTTTTGTTTTAGCATTGCTTTTATTTTGGTTTGTTTAGGCCAAATTTACTCCCAAATTGAATTTGGTATCAATTTTATTTACTAGACCATTAGCTAGTGGTGGAATTGTCCTTTTATCAAAGTGAAATTTGCACTAAATAGGACTAAAACATAAGTCATTTCTGAATGTAGGGTTTAAACTTTTTTATTCATTAAATAGTACGGAGTATTTAATAATGTCTAGTAGGAAGAATAATGTTCGGTGATGATGATCATTTACTTGAATAATGACTAGTGGATAATGACCAATGGTCCTACATTGAGAAATAAAAAATATATGGTCTATATTGAGAAAATTATTAGATTTTAGTCATATTTAGGTAAATTACCCTTTACCAAATCTATGTTGAATTTGGTAGCAATTGTGGGTTGATTTTGCCTTTTAACCCTTTTTTTATATAAATTTTGGCTAAAAAGTTAAAGTTTTTCTAATATTCCATCTATCCGATCTGAAACATTGGATATCTAAAGTTCAGACATCCAAATCTTTTCGAATCCGATATAGACTGATTTTCTTTGATCCAGACTTTCGAATATCCGACATTGCGGATCAGATCAGATTGATTCAGTTGAACACCCTAATCTTTATCAATCTAATTTTGATAGGTATATCATCATAGAGACAAATACTTTGGTGGACCTTAGATACATTTTAATTTTGTAGACCTTATTTAATATTTTACTATTCTCTCTGTCACAAAAATTGTCATATTTTGACTTTTTTAGTCAAACTGTGCAACACTTTGACGATAAATTATAAAAAAAATATATTCAAATATAATGTAAATTTTATAAAATTAGATTTATTTTAAAATATAATTTTGAAATATCTAATTTTTATAATATTTAATATGTAGTCAAAGTGTATCACAGTTCGACAAAGAAAATCAAATTCTGACAATCTTTTTGGGTGAAAAGGAATATGTTGTTGAGAATTTCTATGATCAAATTCACAAAATAAAATAGATGTGAATATTAAAACCAACATGACTATTCTATTAGAGATGCCACAACATTAAATTAAATGCACACAAATCACACAACGTTCAATGTCAGAAATCTCATCTCACTTCACGAGTTACCTCTTTAATTTTGGCCTATATAGTTCAAACGAGATTATAAGAATTTAATGTGTTGGCATCAGTCATCCCTCTCTTTGTTCGATATCACACTCCTTTTTGAATTCGAATATCTGTCCCTCTTTTGAAACTGAAACCTGTCGCAATTAAAACTTCTAAGAGAATTGTTTCCAAAGCAACTTCTTACACAACTTAAATTTGCTTTTTTAGAAAACACCGCCAGCCTCTCCATAATGATGTTTACTTTTTTATTTTTACTATTATCCATTGTAATCTCCGAAAATCTTTCATCTCTGTAAAAAAAAAGGAAACCCAGGGAAAAGAAAAGATTACTGCTTTGTAAACTCATCCCTTCCCAGACAGAGTAGAACAGAGTTTTCTTGGATTTTTCCTTTGTTTTTTGTGGGTTTGTGAGTGTGAAAAGGTATGGAATTGCGCAAACATGCGTTTTCCGGGCAGTTTCCCGGCCAGTTATCGCCGAGAAGGAAGTTTTCCGGTTGCTGTTGGCTGTGGGCGGCGGCTACATTCTTCTTGCTCGGCGTTGTTCTTCTCAACTTCTCATTCAAAACTCCGTTCTCGAATCCGGTGCTTCAGGGCCTGAACAATGCCGCCGCCGGAGAAAATCTGCAGGAGTTCTCCGGCGAGGAGAAAGAAGGGATGTCGAAGAAAACCCGGGAGCCAAACCCGCCGGAGAACGGTAAAAATCAGAACTTTACCGTTCTTGAGAGAATTGGTGTCAGGGGCTCTTCTGGGAAGGGCAAAACTGGAAACTTTTCATCCCAAGAAGGGGTAAAAAACAGTAGTAATCAGAGCAAAGGTTCAGTTTTGAGAAAAGGAAGGAGCTTTGTTGGAGATTGTGACATCTATGATGGTGAATGGGTGAGAGATGAGACAAAGCTTTATTACCCATCTGGTTCATGCCCTTACATTGATGAAGATTTTGACTGTCATCTCAACAAGAGACCTGATGAAGGGTATCTCAAATGGAGATGGCAACCATTTGCATGTGACATCCCAAGGTAATTAAAAGTTACCCTCACTTTGTTTTCAGTAGTTAATTAACTAGGTTGATGTACATGTTTCACTGTTTCATTGCATTCTTGCAGTTACTAGGTTCAGAAATTAAGGGTTTGTTTGGTTGGATACTTTTGCAGGTGTTGGTTTGAAGGGGAAGGCCTATATGTTTGAAATTTCAATGAGCTATTATTCTTTTTTAGGAACATTCTGTTTACAGAGATACATCCCACTTCAAACACAGCCTTAGCCTTTTAGGGAATACTCTTACCTGTTTTTGCAAGTTTTGTGCATGTATAAGTGTATGCAATTTGAGGTTTTTTGGAGAAACTGATGTTGTTTTATTGTTGTGTGGGTTGTTCATCAGCATCAACAGCACTGATTTTTTGGAGAGATTGAGAGGCCAGAAGTTGGTATTCGTGGGTGATTCGTTGAACAGAAACATGTGGGAATCTCTTGTTTGCATTCTGCGTCAAGGTGTCCGCGACAAGAGGAGGGTTTTTGAGATTTCGGGTCGGAGTGACTTCAAGAAGAAAGGGGTTTATGCATTCAGATTTGAGGTATAAAAAAAACACTTCAACACATATGTAGTAGTGGTCAAAAGTCTAATGGTGTTGCTAATCTTTGTGATCAATAAATCATTCTGCAGGATTTTAACTGCTCTGTGGACTTTGTTAGCTCTCCGTTTCTTGTGAGGGAATCGACATTCAAAGGAGCGAGTGGTTCTTTTGAGACTTTGAGGTTGGACTTGATGGACACAACTACTTCAATGTATGGTGATGCAGATATCATAATCTTCAACACTGGTCATTGGTGGACTCATGAGAAAACCTCTAGAGGGTTAGTGTGTGTAGTATATTATTATACTATGTTTAGAAAAAAAGTTAAATCTTGGAGCTTCTTAATGATGAAGATTGAAGAAAACATATGGTTTTGGTGGGTTTACAGGGAAGACTACTATCAAGAGGGCAATCAAGTGCACCCCCAACTCAAGGTTCTTGAAGCATATAAGAGAGCACTTCATACTTGGGCAAGATGGGTGGATGAGAACATTGATGCCAGCCGAACTCAAGTGTTCTTCAGAGGATATTCGCTCACGCATTTCAGGTATTACACTCTTGTCTTTGTACGCCACGTACGCTTTCTTGATGCTTGGCTGACTTTAGGTTTTTGACCGAGTCAAAACGCTAAAGAGAGAGTGTCCCGTTTCAACTAAACGGGTAGGTTCTTTTGACGCGAAGGGTAAGAGTCATAATATGACACTGTTCCATTTGAGGGTCTTATATAGTGCTATGTTTGATCTTGAAATGGTTCCTATCGTCTAACCCCCACAAACCTCGGCCTCTAGCCCGGCCTTTTCCCACCCCGTCCTATGGGTATATGTGACGATGGATTGTCACATAGTGGTGTGACGCTAGGGTGTAAGAACCACTTTGGGGTCAAATGAAGCATCGTAGGACCTTCAAATGGACTTTGTGTCATTTAGGACACCAACGTTGGGTGTTTGTAGGGGGTGGGGCTAGGGGGTTTGCCGGGGATTAGCGGGATAAGAATTACTTCGGGGTCAAACAGAGTATCGTAGGGCCCGCAAATGGACCTGGAAACATATAATGACATTAGGGTTTGGTGTCAAAGGAACCTTGGAATTGAATATCGACAAGGTTTTGTTGACACCGGAGTACGGTGACACTCCGATGTCACTGTCTTTTTGAAGCACCTCCGGTGTTCCGTCCGCAAAATTGGTGGCTCCTATCTTCCCTCTAAACCCTACACGCCTGGCCCCCTCCCCCTCCAAATGTGTGCCTATTATGCAATGTATAATAGTCACACATTTAAGAGAAGAAAAAGTAGGGAGGGGCAGAGGTGAGGGTTTAGGGAGAGGTTAGAGGGGGTAGGAACCATACATTTTGCGAACAGAGCCGAACCTTACCGATTTAATATATGAACTTGCAGAGGTGGCCCGTGGAATTCGGGCGGGCAATGCGACAACGAAACCGAACCGTTTTCGAGCAAAGAGCATTTGGAGAAGTACCCATCAAAGATGGAAGTGCTTGAGGAAGTACTCCATGGCATGAAAACACCAGTGGGATACATGAACATCAGCACCCTCACAGACTACCGGAAAGACGGGCACCCCTCCATTTATAGGTCAGCCAAGAACAACCAGAGCTCTCTGCATGCTCAAGACTGCAGCCACTGGTGCCTGCCCGGAGTGCCCGACACGTGGAACGAGTTGCTGTACGCGTCCCTCTTGAAGAGCGCAAGGGGATTGTGGCGGCGAAACTCCGGAAACCGGAGTTTTGGGTCATGATTGTTGATCATCTCTAGCTCTTCTTCACTTCTCTTGATCATTGTATGTATGAGTTTGTGTGCATTGGTTTTGGGAAGAATGAGGAGGTAAAAAGGCAGTCTTTAGTATGTACACTAGTTTTGTTTATGAAGCTGTATACACACTTTTTTTTGATGTTCATTTGTTAATCAACCATCACCCCAAGATGGTTTGTGGTGATCATGTAAATCCAAACACTGGCCGGAGTCGGATTTTAAGCGCGTAAAACATCAAAAAAGACCCTTGATTTATTCTGGTGGTATTCTTCTCCATACTCATCAACAATATAATATGTCTTCTATAAAAAAAGACTTCGAGTTTGACTTCACCCGAAGTTTAAGAAAAATGGAAGTGTGTAGTTGAAATTGATGCAGAGGAGAGAAAATATTGCGAGCCACCCAAAGTTTTTTACAAATGAAAATAAAAGGCTTTCTTGAGACGTTCCGAAAAATAAATAAGGAGTCTTTTTTTGGAGAAAATGAATATATTAATGTTCAATGTGTTTCTTTTGAAAACAACTTTTGTGGTCATAATATGACACCAAGGACTAGAGTGCTCAACAACTCTTATTGTCATAATATGACACCAAAAACTACAGTGTTTTGTTTGAAAAACAATTAATAGTTTCTATCTTTCCTAATTTCACAAACCTTCCTCACCCAGCACGCATGCTCGAAACACCGATTGACAACAATATTATTGTTGTCAATCGGCGTTTAAGAGGACACAAACCATCAATTTTTAGAGGAATGTATTGTAGCCCATGACAACAAGAATTGTTATTAAAAGAAGGGAGCCGATTAATGTCATTATCATATTATTGTATAAATAAAGGGGGCAATTACAGTATTCTGTTTGAGAAATTAAAGATTCCTACTACCATGTCCCCTAAATCATCTTCTGCACCCCAGTCTTGTTACTGTAGCCAATCAACAGAGAGAGAGGGCCAAAGGGTGCAAGAGGGTTAATGAGGTAGAAATCACCAATTTTTCGAATGGAACACCGTAGGGAACTTGGATTATCCCGAAACCAATTCAATGTCCTGGGAACAAATCTCGTAAATAAAATAAAATAAAAAATTCCATTCGAACCTAACTTCCTAATAACATGTTAAAAGTTAAGCCAGCTCGAGGGTATAAACTTTGTGTTACGTTTTAATTCATGCCATAAATGGTAGGTTGTTGATCAAAGCTCAACATGATCGAAGAACAAAAACAAACCGTCATTACACGTAGACGGTGTGTGTAATTATTGTATAATCAATTTTGGGAGAATTAAAGCAAATTAGAGAGATGAAATGAGTACTATTTAATTATCATTACAATTAATATAATAATTATTATTAATTGTAATAATGATTAATAACTAGTCATTAAGGGAGAAGAATTGTCCGGCGAGGTTGTCCATGACAGCCAAGTGCATGTGTTCGGAGGGTCTCCAGTGTCGCTTCCTTTGGTTTATGAACCAATTGTTGATCTGCTTCTGGTCTAACCCACTCATTTCCGCTAGAGATATCTTGTCTCCCTCCTGAAACCAATCAAGTAATAATTAACTAATCATCCCATCACTAAGAAGGGTAAAAACTAAATAGGCAACACTTGTTATAAAACATTTGTTAATTTTTTTGCTGTTGAGTTCTAAATAAATTACTCTCTTCATACCCTACCTATCACATCATACTTTTTCACTAATAAACAAACTATCACATCTTATTTTTATCCATCACATCAAGGGCAAAATTGTAAAGTCAACCAAAATTACACTTTCCTTATTTTTTCCCAAAGTCAAAAATGGAAGGGTTTAAAGTAACGGAGGGAGTATTATATTCGTGTGAAAAATGAATTTGTGAAAGTATAAATTATCTACATAATTTTTTCAATTAAAAAGTTTAAAAAAAAGGTATTCTTTCCATTTCGCAATAATGTTTCACATTTCCGATTTTGTTTGTTCCTTTTCTTATTCTTCGCACAATCAGTTGCGGATTATTATTACGAGACAATGATAAGAAAAAATAGTACTGTAAAAATATTACCGTAGGATATGGCCATCGATAGTGAACTTTCCACCACTCAAGCAAAATCTGTCTTGCATCTTTTGGGAGCTTCCCTTTCTTCTTTTTCTTTGAGAATTCGAATTTAAGGTTACTTATATGGCCGCCATATTTCCGCAGGAGCTTGTTCTTGAGTTCTCGATCTTCACCGCTCATAACAACATCGTCGCCTCCGACATCATTTTCCTCCATCTCCCCATCGCTATTTTCATCATCATCTGAGGAAGGCACACCATCGTCTGTATGCACATGATCAATAATAACAACTTTGAGTTAAAATCTCATTTTTTTAACCCGCGTGGGCAGCTCAAGTGGTCGCATGGGTAAAGTTCGGCTCAAGAGCCTAAAGATCGTAACTTACAAGTGACAATGTAGAAATATTGTTAGAACTGAACTTGATAATTTCATTAAACATAAACATGCTATTTATAATAGCTACAAGACTATGACCTTGACCCAATTATGAGCCCATTACTTTGGCCCATTACTCTCAAACCCTGAAACATATCCTAACACTTTCCCTCAAGTTGAGAATGAAGATCACAAATGAATTACTTGAACAATAAAATTAGGACTAAAAAACAACTCGATAAACAACTTTGACAAATCTTTGATTTGTTCTGCCAACAACGGACGAAGGCAAGTGGCCGAGCAAACGAACAACCAAAAATTTGATGATGAATGACTCCCACGCGGGATGACTAACAAACGGGCAAAATGTTGCCTGACTGAGGTGCAACTATGCAACCAACCCCATAAACAAATATGCCAGACTAAGGTGCGACTATGCGACCAACCTCACAAACAAATATGTCGGATTGAGGCACGACTATGCGACCAACATCACAAACAAACGTGCAGATTATACGGTGTGAGATTACAAGTTCTCTTCATTAATTGTGCGATGAAATAAAATGTTATCTCTCAGATGTACAAGTATATACCACAATTTTTTTAACATCAGTATATAATATACTTTATTAATTACTCCTCTCTCGTATCGTTCTTCCCAGAGCACTATTTCAATTTCACGGAAATTTATATGAAACGGGAAGAGTATAAGTTGAGGTACACATTTGATGTAGCCTAGCAGTCTAGGCATCTAGCACACCTCAACTAGGGTAGGAAAAAAAGCAACCTTGTTAGGGTACCACCAAAAGTGTATCCCAAGTTGTACTCTAAAGAATATTGCACTGACATTTTAACGATTTGATCATGAGAACATGTTAGTCCAATCAAAAAAATTCACTGACATTTTTTGTCAATGTAAATCATCACACTAACATCACACTTGCATACAATGTCGAAACATGCATTTAGGGTACAAAATAAAATATAAATTTTGGTATAAAAATAGTCCCTCCGTCCCCAAATAGATTACAATTTTGTTTTCTTTCTCCTCTCGATAACTTTTGTTTGTTTACGCAATTTCATTAAGTATTTTATAAAATAAAATATTCTTGTCACCTCTTGTTTTGTAGAACTTTTGACGTAGTTTTTTAATATGTAATTTTTATATTTTATTGATATACCAATTTATAAATAAAATGATTTCAAAAAGTAAAAAATTTTAATTCGTAACCCCCAATTTATAATTAAATTGGGGACGGAGGGAGTAGCATAATTGAAAAAAAAAAAGTACAGAGAACAGGATAGAGTGACTCCCATGTGAAGCGGTGCAGGTCTACTCTACTCTACTCTACTTATGCATGCGGCTTTTTCTCAAAAGAGTTCAATCTTAAATGGCCCCCACTCTACATCAGCCCCGGACCATCTCAGGTGTGTTGCTTACATCACATTCTTAAGAAACACAATTAAATCTTACCGAGTACTGTTAAATTAAATCCCAAGGGATTTGTCTAGTTATATTTTGGAATCAAACTAAATAAATTTTAATTTCCTTAAAAAAAAATTAATTAATGTTATTTTTTTAATTTCAAAATTCTAATCACAGTTATTAATCTATTTTGATAATTTTTTTTGTTTTTTTACAGACTATTTCATAAAGCAAAAAAATCATGTTAACTCTTACTCTCTCCGTCTCCCAGTTTTTGTCCACTTTTGACTTTTAGAACTGTTCATCTAAACACTTTGACTCATCAAATTCTCTCAATGTGTAAGCCTAAATATAGTCATGTGTGATCTTGTTTGATTCGTCTTAACATATACTCCCTCCGTCCTCCAGTTTTTGTCCACTTTCATGTTAAGAGTATCCCACATCGGAAAAAGTGTGAGGAAGATAATCGGTATATAAGCTCTTGAGATAAACTAACTTATCGATTAGATTCAATCTTTTAAAGCGGTTCAACTCAAGTGTCTTATTACCCAATCCAGTTGTCCATATCCCTTCATAAAATTTATCATGGTATCAGAGCCAGTTTTAGCCCACCTCGTTTGTCAAGGTGTCCGTCTAGACGTTCATTCCTAGCGGCCCGTTAGTCTTTAGCCCAGTTGTCCGTATGGAGGTTGTACCCAACGGCATGTGGCCTGTTTAACACGATTGCTCGTCTGGAAGTCCATACCCAGCGGCTCGTGGTCCATTTGCAAGTGGCCAACCGGTTAGATTCAAGGGGATGGGAGTCCATTTGCAAGTGGCCAACCGGTTAGATTCAAAATGGCCCGGTTGTCCACTTGAGGGGGAGTGTTAAGAGTATCCCACATCGGAAAAAGTGTGAGGAAGATAATCGGTATATAAGCTCTTGAGATGAACTAACTAATCGATTGGATTCAATCTTTTAAAGTGGTTCAACCCAAGTGTCTTATTACCCAATTCAGTTGTCCATATCCCATCCTAAAATTTATCAATCCAATGCACTTCTTTAATCTACTTTATATTGTAATTTGTATATTAAAAAATTATAGTCATGTGTGATCTTGTTTGATTTGTCTTAATATATAGATTATTAATATATAATTTCTATAATTTTTTAATATACAAATTACAAGATAAAATGGATTAAAGAAGTACATTAGATGGTGTGTAAAAATGAAAGTGGACAAATACTCTGGGACGGAGGAAGTATTTAATACTCTTTCTATGCTAAAATACTCCTCTCATGACCAACTTTATTTTCAATTCAATTTATTTAAATGTAGATGTAAAATAAATAAAATAAAATTTATATATTTATTCTACATTGGATAGTACACTCTAAAGAACGTGTAAAACCCAATCATTTTTAAAATAATTTAAATTATAAATTGGTATAGAAATAAAAAAAATTATAAATTACACCACTCAAAAATACATCAAAAACTCATAAAAAAAGTTGATAAAAATATTATATTTTAAGAAATGATCAATGAAAATGCAAAAAAAAAAAAAATTATTCAACAACCATAATAATGACAATGAAGTCTATTTAGGGGCAGAGTTAGTAGAATTTTATAATAAGTTTTTAAATGGGAATTGAAATACGTAGTTTATAGTACTTTTTAATTCTGTATCAATTTATACACAAAATAATTTTAAAAGATATCAAAATTTAATTCGAAGTGTGACGATAACTTTGAGACAAAGGAGTATTAGATATATAAAAACTATATTATACGGAGTATATTAGTATAAAAATAAAATTTTGGAGACATTTTCACATTTTTTTCTATGGGCTCATGGTGAGATTTTCTTATTTTAACAAGGTCCAATATATAAAATCATTTCATGTATTAGGTCCATAAACTTAACATAAAGTTAAAGGCCACAAAACATTAATCTTATGAATATGTATGAAAAAAGTAATGCAAATTAATACTTAAATCTACCTTGGGAAAAACAGAAAGTGATATTTTCCATATTATTTCATTTATATAAATAAATAAATATAGACATACGCATGGGATAATGGAAAAATTATTATGTGTTCCAATCCTATTCGATTTTAAAACAATTTGAAATAGGTTCAGGATAAAATTTTGTTATCCCACACAAAATGGAGTGATGCTTATATGGTTCCAAAGTCCATATTTAAAACATGAACCTTATCACATTTTTAATAGACTTACATGTAAATATTTTTTTGCAAGTACTTACTTCTTTTATGCTATAAATACACTAAAGTTCATAAAATCAGCATGGATTTTAGGTCTACCGAAAAATTTGCCCACAAAATGAAACATGATAGGGACAATATCAAAATTTTTCTGATCCGGAGCACCGGATTGGGATTCTTGCCCATCCCTAAAAATTAGCATTCCAAAGAAAGCATTTAAGAATCGCTTCAAAAAAATCTTGAAAGAAAAAAGTAAATAGTCTCATCAATGTTAAAAGAATCCCGCTGGTGACATTATTTTTAACATCAAAGACAAATAAATATAATCACAATTTTTCCATTTTTATAATCTTCTGTATTATTTTCAACTATTTAATTTTGTTTTTTTAAAACTCAATTACGGAGCAAGATTTTTTTTAAAGGAGGGAGTAGTTTCGAAGAATGATTGGAAGAGGGTAAATACTCCAAAAGGAGTACGGAGTATATGGTAACACATACTCTTAATTGAAACCTACACAAGCAAGTTCCTCCAAAGGATTATGCTATGTGTACCCCAAGGGTTATACCCCAATTTGTACCCCGCAGTTTTGCACCAACACTGTGTGTTGGTGTAAAACTAATTTTTGTTAAACGCACCAATATTTGTGTCCGTGTGAATTTTTATTAACGCACCAACACTTGTGTCGGTGTAAACCATCGAAATGTTTGTGCAAACCTATGGTGTACAAATGAGGTATATTTTTTGGTGTAAGTGTAGCATGGTCCTCCTCCAAAAGGACACAACATTTTATTTGCACAAGAGCTATCAGCCACGTCACAACATTAACCTTTTTATCTTTCACGAATGCAAACAAGAAATAGAAATGTCCTACCCTAACCTGAAACTCTTTATAATTGACCTTAAAAGGCAATAAATTTAATCAAAAGACAAGTGCATTTATTTCAAAACACCAATCCAAGTATCCAACTATACTAAGTTTTTACTGGTGCAGTTGTTATGAATCGAACTCCGATGTTATTTCCTTAGTATCCCTTTCCTTGCCAATAGACTTTAGAGTGTTTGTGTATGTTTATGATAGGCTAAGTATATAAATGAGGTACGAATTTTGGTACAACCTAGCACAACCCAAATTTGAATAAGATCTTAATAACTTCATATTAGAACTAATAATTAGAGATGAAGACAAAAGACCTCTAATCATAGCCTTTTTCAATGAATGGGTTGACGCTGAAGCAGCGATTGGCATAAAAATGCTACAAGAAATCTCGACTTTGCAGTCCGGTGGCTAATACGATAATAAACAATCACGCAAACCATGGAATCTCTGCAAGTACTAGACACAGAACCTTTATTGATACTCGCAAAATTAATTGAGATTGTAATTCAATTTATATTTTCTCAGCTACTTGTTCATCTTTTTTTTTATTCACACACAAATGAATGTGTACTTCACTCATTATTTTTTAAAAAACCTCCGCAGAAACTGTTACTCCGTATAAGTGAGCAAGTTTTAGAAATAGTGGAATCCCTAGTTCCAAAGAAAATACTGTGCTGTACTATGGTCATTTCATGTGTGAAATGTCGAAATCAGAAGCAAATACGGAGCATGTCTTTACACGCACGCCCTTCATTTCTCCTCTGACAACAATTCAACAAAGAAATTTAGATGGGGCAAAAAGAGAGTGATGAAGTACTGTGCCCCCGGATTTAATAACTTGCTCTACCGTAAAAGATAAACAAGCCCGCATGATGAGGAGTGGCCAAATAATGAAATAATGACACTCCACTCCTATGAATACGAACTCTGCCCAAGTGTATTTATCTAGTTTGACTATTTCAAATCAAATTGAATAAATTTAATTTTTAATTACATAAAAATTAGTTCTCTCTTTGTCTCTATTTAGATTACAAATTAGGATTTACAGAGATAAAATGTTGAATCTCTCATGTTTTGATTTTTTTTTTTACAAAATGGTAAATTAATAAACAATAAAAAATACATATTGAAAAATTATCTATGAATAAAGGGAGTATAAAAATAATTTTTCATTATATTTGACTTGTTTAGAAATTTCAAAATTTTATGTTATTGTGTTTATTAGGTATCGAGACAATAGGATAAAATATTACTCCCGGGTAGTATTAATTACATTTCTTATTCTATTGTTTTTTATTGTATTATTACTAGGGCTTTTACTAATATTCTTATTCAAGTATGATTAGGATTCTCTATCATAATCCTATATATATAGATGTAACCTTAATTATTCAATAAGATTAATTATTATTAAATCATATCAGTATTAAGATGCAATAGAAATCGAGAGTAATTGATAATTAAAATTCATCCAGCTTGACTCAATTAACCAGACGAATACACTGGAAGCCTGGAATGGAAGAAGTATATGTTCCCTTGTTAAGGATTAAATCTTCCTATAATTGAATATAGGGGCATACTAGAGGTACACCAAAATAAGATAACCCATTTGTATATTAGGCAAACACAAACACTTAGTGTCTGTGTTTGTCTGTGTTTGCTTGGTGTACAAATGGGGTATCCATTTTGGTGTACCCTAGGTTTATTCTTGAATATATCACATTTGGACCACCAGGAACACAAATAAAAAAATATTTTATCTTATACGGAGTAATACGGAATAATAATTACTCCGTATGAGAAACGACATCCCTGGTTACACACTCTAAGACTGAGGTGTTGGATTCAACGCTAATACTGAGTAAATACATACGGAGTATGTCTTGTTTGGGAATAATATTTTCGATTAGGGTTTTGGATAAAAATATAATGTTGTAGATTAATTTCAAAAAAACTAATGTTAAATACTATCGTCAGATAACTTTTTAAAAATGCTAACCTCTAACGCTGACGCCAAAGAGGGCTATAACCGTTAATGTTTAACAACAAATGTTTGATTCACAAAAAAAACTCAAATCAAGATGTAAATGGTCTCTTACTTCAGTGAATAGTGTGGTGTGATTTTAGTCCACATAATCTTATTGCATTCTTTCCCTCACTCAAATCAAGATGTTGTGGACATTATGTGCATTTACTGCCTTAAGTGTTATCTTCTTTTCGTCTTATTTTCATTGCTAGTTTCCACGAAGAAGTTCTTCCCGTCCGAGGATCGTTTAACTCCTCCAAACACCGGAAGTGTTCAATGGCCAAAATATTGCTAACATTAATTTTGAAAACATTAAAGTTAAACATTGTGATTACATTACCTTTTTCACTATGTTAAAACTAAGCGCTGAAATTGTTGTCAAATGAACACAACACTCTTTAGACCCTCTTGTTCCACATTTTGACAATCAAATTTTATAAACAATGATTAATACACGGTTCCCCAAAACGAAGTTGGTGACTTGTGATACAATTTGATAATAATTAATTATATTAAATAATGAAAGATACATTCATATCATTCTATCAGGTTGTTTAGCAATATTCGACTTAAATTATTTTCAAATTAATCTGAAATATTTAAGAACTATAACTACCTCCGTCTCAGTTTATTTTTTCAGTTCAACTTTTTTGAGTCAAACTGAACGAACTTTGAGCTTTAATTTCTCTCAATTTGTATAGCATATTAGTATAATGAAATACCGGAGCATAACTTTGAAATTTCATCCATTTTGTTTAACATACTTATTTAGCTGAAGCCCAAAATTCATTCAATTTGAATCTGAAAAATCAAACTAAACAAACAGACTGAGACGGATGGAGTATAATTTAAGATTTACATGTTCTACAACACAAGAGACAATATAAATATACCACTCCTTCCGTCCCAAAACTCGTTCTACATGTTTTTTACTTCTCACACAAAATCTTTCTCATTTCTATCATAAACCCACATTACCACTAGTAATTCTAAACATACCTATCACATCATAGTTTTTACTAATAATCTACATATTACATCTAACGTTTACATATCACATGAATAGTATTTTTGAAAAGTCAACACAAAAATATATGTCTTTTAAATTTTTTAAAAATCAAAATGAGAATATCTTTTTAGAAGTACGTTATTTAATCAAATGACTAGTGAAAATAAACAAAAAAAAAGTTAAAATTTTTTACTATACGAAGTATGAACTTAATTTTGTGATGGAGCAAGTACTAAATTTAAGTTTTCTTTTCAAAGCATTAGATATATTTCCCAATCTAAGACAAAAACTAGACCTATTTTTTGTAGTTTTGTGTCATAACTTTCTTCCATTAATCCATCTTTATTTTATGATCATAAGAGAAAGATTGAAAGAAAAAAAGAGATTGTTTGTGTGTGTGCAAAAAATATCGAGGAAAGGGAGTTAGGATAGAGGACCTTTGCAGAGATTTTGAAGTTGAGATTGGATGTTGTTGAGGAAGGTCATAGCTTCGTCCAACGGCCTCGAGAGCTCTGATTTGTATTTCACTAACATTTCACTGTAGGTTTCCTATATTAGGGAGATAAGAATTACTCCGTAATTATGAATCTTTATACTACATCGGTCTTAATTTAAAACAATTCATGTTTTGTCTTTTTTGTTAAGTGGTGACACTCTTTGATCAAACATTGAGAGAAAAATGTATTTTTTTAAAGGAGCGAAAAAAGTATATTTTGTTAGAATATGAATTTAATTTAATTGGGTTAATCTTAGGATATATTTTCAATATATCAAATTATATATATTTTATTTATTTAATTTATATTTAATTTATAATCAAAGAATGTCATTGTTTGATAAAAAAATCAAAACAAAAAAAGTTTTTAAGACGGGATGGAGTAGTTTAGTCACATAAACTATTTACTTAAAAGTTATTTTATCATCGTTATTTTAAAGTGTAAGTTATTTTATGAAATGACTAACGAGAATATTGCAAACAAATTCATGGAATAATTAAATGTTAAGTTACTTTATTTTGATTTTTAGGAGAAATAAGATTGTACATTTGTGGTTAACTTCCTGATTTTGTCATTGATGTGATGGATTAAAATAAAAAATGATTTATAGATTATTAGTAAAAAAGTACGATATAATAGGTAAAATAAGAAAAAGTAAAAATAAAAATAGTTTTTTAATAGAAATTGAAAGTATTTTGAAAAAATTTAAAACGAGAAAGTATTTTAAAAAACTGAGTGACTGACGGAGTAATAAGTTGGGAAAAAGAAAAAAAGAGTAATAATTCTATGAGCTTATAAACAATAAGGAGTAATAATAAATTTATGAGCTTGAGAAAGAGATTCACCATGAAAATGTCAAGGTCTGGATCAACTCCTGAGCACGTAGACACGACGCCGTCATGCTTACGCAATTCGTTTTCTCGCCGGATTTCATCCAGAAACGCTGCGATCTCCGGCGGCGCTCCCACCTGAAAACACCGCAAAACTCGTTACCTCTCTCTTCAATCCAGGGAAAGAACGGTTAGACATTTGCGGGAGTAACCGCTCGCGCACAAAGCGGGAGTGACTTTCTCGTGATCCCGGAAACTATGCGAAAACGGTTAGACACTTGCGGAATTCGCGGCCGAACCTTCTGGCAATCGATGTAGGCTTCTAGAAGCTTCGGATAACAAGGATGGGACGCGATTCTATCTTTGATTAAGCCAATACCGCCGTCTTCGTAGCCGCCGTGGCCCTCCGCCGCCGCCGCCGCATCCTCGAGCCGACTCCCGCCTCGCCGAGTCACGGACGCCGCTTCGGAATCCACGGAGCAATGGAAGCTGCCGGTGGCGGGAAGGTCGTCGGAGCAGCACATCGGAATCCGATCGACGGAAGGAACAATCATGCCGTAGCTACAGTCGAACAGATCGTCCGGCGACATCAGGTGCCGGTCGGCGTAGTCCGGCGCGGAATGAAAGCCGAACATTCCATCCATATAAATATCGATCAGTTCTCCGGCGAGTTGTTAGAGCTCCGATCAATTCATTTTAATTTCTGCAACGAATAGAATTGAACCCTAGGGAATACGAAAGGGATTGGGATTTCCTCCGGCGGG